ATCGCCGATTCGTCGATCCGGATCGGTTTTTTGGAAGCCCGATCCGGGTCACCGATCCGTTTTGTAAACCATTGCTCTAAACACAAGCGAATAGTGGCTCGTGCCATCTGTATCAGGTTCCTCCCAATCATCATCGGTCATATTTACTGGTTTCTTATCTTTTTAAGTAATGCCTTGTGTTGCCCTTGCTGTACCATTAAATCTTGCATTTTTATTTACCAAATTTCAATATCACCTTTTCCCATTAAATTTCTCCACCTCAAACTTGTGAGATGCCATTTTTTGATACCACTTGTTGGAAAATCGGGATCGCCTAAATCCCTACTTGATGTGTGAGCACCCTACAAAAATGATTCCAACATGCAAACAAAATACCCAAAAACAATAATGTGTGCAATACATTTGGGAAAAATGTAGAAACAAGAAAAACAAGTAAAATGGGAAATCACCAAACTACAACATAAGTAAAAGGCACACGCACATTTACGTGGTTCATCCAAAATGGGCTACATCTATGGACAAGTGGCAAGGATGCATTTACTATCAATGGAAAAAATCTACAAGTTTGGGCTTTTATAGAGATTACCTCAATCAATGGCAAAGAAAGCTCAAGTATAAATTTTCTACCACAATACCACTATCAATTGACTCATCTCTTCATCACCGTCGACCAAGACCATCGCTGCAAAGAAATATCGATGAAAAACCGACTCAATATGAGGCCACAATGGTGTTAGGGTTTGGGCAAGAAACCCCCAATCTCTACCTCCTAAAACTTCTCTACACTTCTCTCTTTTTGTTTTCTCTCTACAAATATACTTTTATGTGCCTCTATAAAAGACCTTTCTTTTATGAGGAAAATACCACTCATGAAAAAGGGAATGCCATTTGGGCGTGATTTTGGCATCCCTACAGTCACAAATTAGGTTTTCTTTGGGATTTTATTTTGTGTTTATTTTAGAGTCTTTTAAGTTGCTTTACTTAAGATGCTTTTATTTAGTAGGATTATGATGGGAATATATGGTGGAGACTAGAAGGGAATTGATTGATGGGTAGGATTTACAAGCTTGTAAGGTTTTTTGTGTTTAAACTTATTTAAATAGTGGTTTTAGGAGTTGAGAGGAGACTTGGAATATTTACCTCCTGTTATTGATTTATTCTATAGAAGAAAACTTGAAGCTTGTGATGCTTTCGTGGTTGATTTCTATCTGTTTATTATTTTAACTTGGTGGTTTGAGTATTTGCATGATCTAGTACTTTTATTAGATAAATAAGTTATTCAGGCTTGTGTGATGTTGATGATGCAAACAAATACAAACTGTACTAATGAAAATTCTTTACGAATTATTTATACATTATTTTTGTGAATTATATATGCAACCTCTTGATACCATAGTTTGATATCTGCTTGCGGTCCCTTCTTGTCTATAATTGTTAACAATATAAGGGTTTGGACATTCCTAACATAAGTTCAAGCTTTTGTTCATGTGATGCTTCTTGATGAAGTGCCTATATGTTGGATTCCTTTATTATCTTTGGTACCTGGGAGAAACATGGGTCATTATTTCTATATCGTTGTCAACCAACTAGCCGACTCCAAATAGTTGGGATAAGTCTCAGATGATGATGATGATGTTTTCAACCAACTATTCCTCCTCTTTTCATCTGTTTGTGCTTTCAACGATCTTGAGATTGAACATTTTGTATATTTTGAATATGAGTTCCCCTCTTGACCCTACAATGTTGCTGTTTAATTCATTATAGCTTTCTCCTGACAACTATGGCACTCCTATCAGGAGACCATTATTCAACACACATGGCTGAGTGTTGTTTACTTTTCAAAGTATCACATTGAGTGGTTACTATTATTGTATCAAAAATGGAAAAAAAAAGGAGCATTGATGGTTGACTGAAAAAAAAATAAATAGAGAATTAAACTTTAGAAAAAATACAACAAAGTTGGCTTCTTGTGGTGAGATGGTTTCCTCTTGGTAGAAGGGAAGCAAATATTTTTTTATCTTTTGATATTGTAATTTTTCATGGAAATTTTAACTGTATCTTATATTTTTCTATTGGACGTTATTACAAAATTTCTCATGCCTAGTCTTTGGTAATCTGTAGGCCCCATATTTACTTTATTTTTTGACTAAATAGGATGATTATCATGACCAACCATTTAATTTTTGATTGTCTGCTTGTTATGACCCTTCGTGCCATGCATGGTGCGTGTCTTTTGTTCTTCTTGCTTGACATGCTATAACTATACATAAAGTTCAATTTATCAAACTTGTTAGTTGTGCGTTGATTAAATCTTGTGTCTTGCCAGCTTGAGATTGACCTGTTGATTGTAGTGAGTAATGCTATTAGTAGGGGTGGCGACCTATAGGGTTGGTCCAGGTCGACCCTGGCTCAGACCTTACCCAACTAGGTTTCACATGGAGCCAGACCCGGATCGGGTCCAACCCCAACCTGAGTCCAGAGATTAAAAAACAAAAAAAAATTACATATTGTTATAGTATATAGTCGGTTGGGTCGGTCCCGATCTGTACCCAACCCTGCTCGACTAGGGGTCCAAGCCGGACTCGGACCCAGGCACGACTGGGGTGGGGTAAAAGTCATTTGGAAATGAGCAGGACCTGACCCAGTACATCCAAGACATGGACCTAGCCTAGGATCTGACCCAATTGCCACCCCTAGCCTATTAGTTGAATTTATTATGCATGTTCATGTTTCTCCTTAGTAAATACCTTTTATTCATCAGTATTCGGCAAGGTGATCAATGGATCTATTTCTTTCCTGAATTTTGTTGGTAATATAGTTTATAGCAATGTTGCCTAAGTTGCTTTCTCATGTCTCATGTCCTATTAGTTTATTAGTGTTAATATGTGCCATTCTTAGCTAAGTGGTTTCTTTTCTGACTTAGTTTGGTTTATTCTCATTTGCACCCTGTGCAAGGATTGCTTGGATTGTTATTTATGCCTTTGTGGCTGTCAATGAACCTGGACTGTTTTGTTCACATTTTATCCCATATGGTGGGTTGTCGTTTTTGTTGGTTTTGTCAAATGGATGGTGAAGCAAATGCTATTACTTTCTTTGAGAAACCTGACTTCAAGTATGGGAGGTTAGTATTTATCTCTTACTCATTAATCCTCTCATCTCATTGAGAAACCTGACTTCAAAATTCAAGTTTACCAGTGAGTCTTTCTGGGTTTGCTCTATTAATGAGATTACGATGCAAAAGAAAAAACAAATCCAAATGCTTTAGCATGTGGCTTTTATGTTTCCTTACTTTTTTTTTTACGGAGTATTAAAAAATGCAAAAGAAAAAACAAATCCAAAATGCTTTAGCATGTGGCTTTTATGTTTCCTTAATTTTTTTTATGAAGTATCAGAAAATGCAAAAGAAAAAAGAAATTCAAAATGCTTTAGCATGTGGCTTTTATGTTTCCTTACTTTTTCTTTAATGAGATTGTGAAGTTTCTTTGAAGTGGAAAAAAAGATGATGTTAGCTCTTCATTCTGATCTGATCTTATTTGGTAGTTCCCAGGTACTTGTCTGGTGTCAGCTTGGAGAAATTACCAATAGAAAACAACAGTAGCTTGACCCTTAGGTATGTATGTTTCTCCTGAATACAACTGTTTATGTGTGCTTGTGGATTCCTTTAGCTAAGATGTTACTTAGCAGTTTATATTAACAATTATCATCTTTTTTTCTTTCCCTTTATAATTCCATGAAAGCTTTTGATAATATGGCAAGATCTTGACTCTTTTTTTAAATTTGTTTTGCACAAATTTTTGAAATAAAATATGTTTATGTGCAAATGGAAGTGTAAGTTTTTGAGGAAATAGAAGGATATGTTGATAGTTTAAGATAAATATAATTGTAAGAAACTCTTTTTTGTTTTTAAATAGTTGAGCCATGGCTCAGATGGAAGGTATTTGTTGCAACCGTGAGGGTATAAGTTCAAACCCATGTAACCTATTGAAGGAAGCATAGAAAGGAAAGGTAGAAAATAAATAGATTTTCCAATTTTATCGCTCTCTCCAATGTTTGTTACTTTTTAGCTTTCTTATTTTTCACCTAGAATTCCTTAAAATCTCCCTAGAAATTTCTTTTCCTTTTCAATACACGGGAATTGAATTGTTTTACTTTGGTGGCTATATGTTCATGTACAGTTCTGGAAAATGGGAGTTGGGCAGTGGCACCTTCTGTCACCGGGTCAAGCCCGTCCAAAGCAGGCATGTATATTGGTGCTTGATGAAGCAACAACTTCTGTCGACACGGCCACAGACAACTTAATTCAGAGGATCATTCGAACAAAGTTCAGAGATTTCACAGTCCTCACTATGGCACATCGTATCCCAGCTGTGATTGACAGCGACATGGCTCTAGTTCTTAGTGATGGTGAGTATGGGTTTAGTAGTTGGATTTGTATTTATAAAACAGGAAACTATATCTTAATTCAATGGACTGTGTAAAAAGGGTAGGCCATGTGTCTAGATCATCCTATAAAAAATGGATGATGATGGACTGTGCAACCCATCATTGGATTCAGTCTTACTGTTGGATACAGTCTCTTTCCATTGCCATCCATCATTTTATCTATTGTGATGAGCTCAGTGGACACTGTTTCTTCTGTAGTCCATATGATACGGTGAAATGGGTAAGTGCAGGAGAGAGAGCTTCGTATGATGATCTACAAGTGCAGGAGAGAGCGAGCATCTTATGATAATTTACCATTGTGATCACCCCAGTGGACACTGTTTATTATAATCTAAGAGACTATGAAAAGGACATATCCGATGGAATGGGAAAACGATCACCTCAATGGATGTCTCTCTTACCATCTTATCAAGTTAGCAAAATCTTCTGCTTCTAGTTATTTCTGATGATATATATGAAAAAATACTGGTTCATGTCATGGGATGGCGTCCAGTAATAACTCAAGGATCTGGTATGTTTCTGATTATATAATCTGGTGTTCTTATTGCATGACTAGGCCTTTGCGTTATTATTTTTCTTTCAAAGGTCAAACTTACTATTAATTAGGGGGTAATCGGTTGTTATCTAGTAGCTGACAAGTGTTTGAATATTACGAGAGTTTGTTTCAGAAAAGCAAGAGCATTTTAGGGTGTTTAGTGAGGTATGGACAATAACAGCAATTTGGTGTTTCCTTCGGATAAAATCTTCTGGAATACCTCAATTTTTTTATTATTTATTTATTTTTTATCTTTTTCTTCTAGTTATTCTTTTCATGTTCTGGATGTCATTGGAAATCAGATGTTCTGAGAAACTTTCTGTTGTTTCATGGAAAACCACTGGATTATCTTTCCAATTTTCTTCCGTTTCGTGGTAAATGTCTTGAATAAATCCAACAAGTACTTGCTTAATGTATTTAATACCTTTATTTCATTATGTAGTAACATTTTTGTCCAGGAGTATTTTAGAAAATTAAATATGGTTAAAATTAAAAAATTTGATAGAAAGAACACTTATTCCTTATAGTGGATAGAGTTAGTTTCTTATAGAAGTATGTATGGTATCCCTCCTAATTACGGACAATATCGTTACTAAAAAAAAGTTGTATAGTTGTATTACAAATCAGAGGTACGTGAGTGTAAAACTAAAGTTGAGTCTATTAAAATAATACTCATATATGATTATGCTTATTTAGTATACGCTAATGCTTAACATATTTTTTTCTTTCAATGTCCTCATCATGCGTTTTTGTTTTTTGAATTTAGCCTCACAAATCAACGTAGAGATGCTTTAAAGGCTTTTTATAACACAAAAAAAAAAAAGCTTTATTTAAAATAGAACTATGTTATTTCAAAGGCCTATCATATTAAAAGCATGTGATTCTAAATCAAGAGTCATAAAGGCAAGTTTTCACAAGTTCATATGCCATGTACACTTATAACATTAAATTAAATGTTAGAGGGATTGCTATTTGCATCATATTTTGTTAAAGTAAAAAAATGTAGGTGCATAGAATATTAAAAAAAGGAAAAGAAAAGAAAAAGTCAAAATTAATATCCAACATTATTTTTGTGGCAGACGACTAAACTCACTAATTGAAGTTTTGAAAAAATGATTACTATTCATCTCAACATAAAACTCATAATTTATTCTCTTTTTAGAAAAAAAATAGAGCGACAACCTACATCATGACCTAAACTTCTCTATTTAAAGTTAAGCCATGTCTAAAGAACTTTTCTTATATATGAACAAATATCTTCATAACCCCTAAAATAGAGGCTGATTTTACACCGTCCCACTTATTCCCTAAACTAGAACATTGACCAATATACAAACACCCAAAAAATTCATGATTTCATATAAATATATACAATCAAAAGCTTTCAGATTTTAATTTGATATGGAAGACTTTCATAATAGGGACTTAATTGAATATATTCATCTCCAACAATCCCATAAAAGCAAGCAAAAGTAGAAAGGATAGGCTTACATGTAATTTCTCTTTATATTTATATGTTCTCTCTCTCTTTCTCTTACCACATTAACAAATAATTCATATAAATATGTACAATCAAATACCATCATATTTTAACAACATAAAAGAACATATCATATTTGAAAAAGAGAAACAAGAAATGGTTCAATTGGGATCCTAATGCATATAGATACAAATGGTCCAATGGAGCAAATATTTTCAAAAAATTGTAACATTTTGTTTCTAAACAGAAGAACCGTTTGCAATTGAAGTCATACGAATATAGATATGGGAGCATAATATAGACATTGATATGATAGTGACAGAATCCCTATTATGTCAAAGAGAAGGTTGAGATACCAAGTACTTGGTTCTTGGAAAAGATTAGAGAAAACCTCTTTCCAAGATAAAGAAAAAATATGCATAAAAGAAAGAACAAAACAACAAAATTAGAGAGTAATGACCACTAATAAAGAGAAGCTCATGATAATAATGACTTCTTGGTTGAGAGAGAGATTATAGGTTTGAAAAATACTCATGGATAAAGAAATCAGGGAGATAATAAGTTTATAGGGGAGGAATCCTCTTGCTAGGGTGGCAATGGACCGGAAGACCCAGAATCCGACAGGTAGACTTGACTTCGGGTCCGGATATGTTCAAATTTTGGACCCAAAGGATCAGGCTCGGGGACGGCTGTACCCGACCTGAACCTCATCGCACCAATATACTATTTAAGTAATATCAAATATTATTATTTAAAGCCTTTTCGTTTCAATGTTCCAAGGTTATCATTATCTATTTAATTCTGTGCCACCCTCTTGAAGCCCTTAAAAATCTGAAGTTAATTGTTTAAACCAATGCCCAATAAAATCCAAGCACCCACATTTTCCCTTATCAAGGGCCATGTGCCCAACTTGCAATTGTAACAGGCGTTCTATCTCTCTCTCTCTCTACTCACCTAATAAAAAAATTTATTTATATAACACGTAATTATTTCTCTTTGTCTACGGCCACGCGCCCAGCATTCTGTTGTACCATGCTCTCTCTTTTTCTCTCTCTATTCATCCAATAAAAAAAACTTTAGTTATTTAGCACACGATTATTTTCTGGATGAAGTTTTTTTAGGGCTTAGGCTTTATGGAAACAAAATAAAGCGTCGCCTCAAAAACTTCGCCTAAAAAGCCCTCAATTCTTCGTCCAAAAAGCAATTTGGATAATAGAAATCTCCATAATGGACCTAATTCAATTTTTAACACCAATAATAAAATTTGAAACTAACAAATATTACAAATTTTAAAGATATGTAAACATTTAATTTTAGGATGAAATGGACAGTTTAGATAATTTGTTACAATATGCATGATTTTTAGATCATAAAATCCTAATTTTTTTTACAACTAATATATTTAGGCCAAGTGTAAAAGTTTTCAAATATTTGAATTGTAATCTTTTGATTAATTATAAGGTAAAGCATTTCTTATTTTGATAAGGCTGCAGCCTTATCAAACTATTTTCCTCATTTCCCTTTGCCAAGGCCATGTGCCCAACATGCATTGTAATATGTGTGCTTTATCTCTCTGGTATGGATCCCTTTTTTATTTTTGGGTTCGGGTCCTGATCCGTGTCCGTATCTGGTGACTTTTGATCTAATCGGGCCTGGATTTGGACCCGACCCGACTTGTTGCCACACCTATTTGAATATAAAATCCAGATAGGTTACGCATATATATATATATATCTCTCTCTCTCTCAAATTTTCTCTCTTCCCGTCATCATGGTAACAAGTTTTTTTTACGCATCTCTTTTTTTAAAATTTTATTTCTCCTAAAAACACTTACCATGATAAAATAGGTATTTGCTATCTATCTTCCGCTAAATATGCTTTTAAATTTTATTCTTTTGTAGAAAATGGCATGTTCAATATTCATGTAGTAAATGGTATCTTGGATGTGGTGCATAGCATTTTGTCCAATGAGGATTGATTTTATTGAATGAAATTTTTTTTGACCAAGAATTTTATTGAATGAAATTATTAGATTGATTTTAAACGATGATCAATTTTATACATAGCAAGTAAGAAGCACGTCTGCTCTTTACAAACTGCACCTACATAGGAATCCTAATTCTCGAATTAAGATTTGGAAATAAATTTTCTCTTTGTCATCCTTTCCGGATAAAGTTTAGGAAAAGGTGGGATAACAAATATCCTATTTCTCAAAGCTTTCATTCAAATCTTTCATATCTCTTAAAATATCTCATTTTCTCTTTTGTGCGTATTTTTTCTTTGTCAAAAGTCTCACACTCTCTCTTGATCGAATTAACATATGGAAACAATATATGTATCTCTTGTTCTCATTAAGATAAGAAAACAATATTGAGATATCTTTCTTATGCGTACATATATTCTTTCTCTTCCTTTAAACCAAGGAATGTGTCCTATCATGGTTAACAAGTCACATACTACCAATAAATCGGCTCACCATAAAATCAGATACAAATCGTTTTTATTTTAAAAATCAGATGAAAAAATCGAATAAAAAATATGGATCGGAAAAAATACTTCATATAAAAATATCGCTAATATATCAGATTAGGCTAAAAAAATCGGATAAATTTATAATATTAGAAAATTTGAAATTCTAAAGATTAAAAATTATAACAAAACCAGAAATTACTTATTCTATAAAAACTTTATTAGATTAATATAATTAAATCAATTAATTTAAATGTCTCGTAACTCTTATTCAATCATCCAATATTAAATACATAATTAACTACTATATACCCAAAAAAATGTATCATATAAATCTACCCGTTAAATACTTTAAGAAACATCACTTACATGTAAAAATAAATATATTCTATAAATTTATTCATTAAAATACTTTAATTATAGTATAATGAAAAATATACTATACAACCTTATTCATTAAATACGTAAACATCACACATACTTACCAGGATAAAAAAAAAAATATACGATTTTTTTATTTTCATTACAACGATTTAACTATCGTAATAGTGACTATGGTTAAAGTTTTATAAATTTCTTTAATTGAAAATAGGCTCAAGAAATTTGGGTTTCACACCTGTGTTTACGGTTTAGAGAGAGAAGAAGGCTCGTAGAAATTTTTGTTTCACATCTGTGTTTACGGTTTAGAGAGAAGAAGGAAGAAGGAAGAAGGAAGAGAAGAAAATAGGGCTGGGCTCACAGCCATTAGGGTTAATAGAGAGAAGAAGGAAGAAGAAAGAGTTCATGGGCTTCACAAACCCTAATGGAAGAGGCCCTCATTTTTATATAGATAAAAGGAAGAAGAGGCCTGATTTTTAGAGATAGAAAAGGAGACCCTAATGGAAGAGGCCCTAACTGATTTTTAGATAGAGAAAAGGAAGATGGGATGCTGATTTGGGATAATTTGAAGAGGGTTTTTTTCACTGGTTGGGATAGTTTGAAGAGGGTTTTTCATTTTCTTGGGGAAACAGGATAGTTTGAAGAGGGTTTTTCATTTCCTTGGGGAAACAGCAAGCAGAGCTGAAGGATTAAGTTTGGGGAACTAATCATATGTGTACAATTGCTTGCTCCTGTAAGTATACAGTTTACACAATCAAAAACAAAATATTGATTATTTGGTCCTGTAGTCACACTCTCTGCTTCTCATCCATCAGTAAAAGACTATTTTTTGAGCTCTAATTTGTGCCATAAACAGTATTTTCACAAATAATCACATCAATCTGCATGTATATGATTTCTTTACACAATGATTTACTTCACAAAATGATTTTGCTATAAACAGTATTTCATTTACACAATGATTTTCCAGAATAACAATTGAAATCGGCATCTATTTGTTTAAGTTTTTTTAAAAAATTCATACCATCAATCTGCCACTGTGGCTTTGAAGAACGAAGTGGGGATAAAAGTTTCTATTTTAGGTTTTTTTATTTGAAATAATATTTTTTTTCAAAAGCATGCAAGTAGCAATGGCTGCAATACACAAAACAGGAAAAATAAAATAAAAATAAATAAATCTTTCAAAAAAAAAATATAGGTAAAAAAGGATACGATTTTTTTTGCCTGATTTGAATCGTATTATGAAAAAAGCGCGTTTTAAACCTTTTTATGAAAACGGCGGGGATTTTTTTCCGACCTTTTTAAAAAAATCTCCTTTTAAAACTGTTTCCAGCGACTTTTTGAAAACATCGCCTATTAAACGGCGATTTGAAAATACCGTACAGATAGTTTTATTTGCACTATAAATATGTATTAATTTTTATTAATACATGATGGTATTTTCAAAAGAATGATATCATGTATTTAAATATATATTAATTGTTATTATTAATACATAATGATATTTTCAAAAGCATGTTAGCATGTGAATATTTTGTGAGGAGAAGATGCATCGTGTAAGAAGGAGAACAAATAAACAGAAATATTTTGCTTTTCATCAATGAATGCTAATCCTTTTATCTATATTTCTTAAAAGTAGATAAGTTAAGTAGTTATATATATCTTCTTCTGTTTAGTTTCCTTTTATCTATATTTCTTAAAAGTAGATAAGTTAAGTAGTTATATATATCTTCTTCTGTTTAGTTTTTCTCTATCTCCTTCCTATAATCAAGGAGCTGTACATATCTTTTTTTTGTTTTTTCCTATTTCTATCTCAAGACTCCTCCTTATAATATAATGTATTTCTTAAAAGTATTTCTTAAAAGTAGATAAGTTAAGTAGTTATATATATTGTCTTCTTTTTTGTTTTTTCCTATCTCCTTCCTATAATCAAGGAGTTATATCTATATATTTTTTTGTTTTTTCCTATTTCTATCTCAAGACTCCTTCCTGTAATATAATTTGACGTGGAGTACAAGACAGATAGGGGTTAGCGCCGAAGAACCTATATAAGTTTCCAAGGATCTCTGGTTTTAAACAGAGAAGCAGGTTCAGAGATTAGAGAGAGAAGTTGGATCAGAGTTTCTCTTTCACAGAAAAGAGAGAGAGTTTCTTTGATTAGAGTGATTATTAAGTAGAGAGAGAAGTATTGATTAGAGAGATTATTAAGTAGAGATAGTACTCTTAAGTTTCAAGAAGATGACCAAAGATACGACGATGACGGAAGCGAAGAAGATGATCCTCTTGAAAAGTAGTGAGGGCCAGATATTTGAATTGGCAGAAGCGTCTGCCATACAATGTGAAACTATCAAGAACATGATAGAGGGTGGGTGCATCCCTGGTGAGAAGGGTATCCCACTCCCTAATGTTTCGAGCAAGACTCTTTTGAAGGTTATCGAGTACCTCAATCACCATGTGCATGACGACAAGGAAAAGGGGAAGGATGGAGAGGAAGAAGAGAAGAAGGTTCAGTTTGAGCTCACAAAGTGGGATGAGCAGTTTTTAATGATTGATATGCAAATCCTCTTCGATATCATTCTGGTACATATACTTTCTCTCTTCTTCTTTATTTTTCTTTCTTCTTTCTTTTTCTTTCTTCTTTCTTTTTTCTTTGTTTTCATAAATAAAAATTGTCCCGTGCGGGCTGGACCCTTTATTTCTCTTTCCTTTTTCTTTTTTCTTTGTTTTCATAAATAAAATTTGTCCCATGCAGGCTGGACTGCATTACTTCATATGCCATCCAAATCTTAAAGATGGGTGTTCCATCTAAAAACAATGGAAACTAACGGTAGCAATGTTTTCCTAGTAAAATTATTATTTTTAGGTTTTAAAATTTATTTATTTTTTCATATTCATGATCTCCATGTTGGAGATTACTTATCTTTAAAAATTAAGTCCAAAAATCCATCTAAAAAATAGATCTATTAATAGGTCCTCATTTCTAGGCATAGAAACTGGGTCTCAAAAATAGATCTTGTTTTAACTTTGCTGATTCATCATCACTTTTGATCATGTAAAAGAAGTTCCGTTTTATAATCTTTGGTGGGTTTCTTTCTTTTCTCTTTTAAGGTCATCCTTTGCTTTTTCCGTTTCTGCAATGTTGGTTATATTTTGTTTTTCGATGTAATTTTGTTTTTAAATTTCTTATTTTAAACTCTGTGAAAATTAGTTTTGGCTAGCTTTACTTATGCCTTGATTCTGTTACAACATAAGCACAGTGTTTTCTTTAATGGGTTGATTTGTGGAAGTATTTTCATTGTAATGATCCTTTGATTATAATATTTGACTCTCTCCCTCTTTCTATGTCACAAATTAGGTTTTCTTTGAGATTTTATTTTGTGTTTATTTTAATGTTTGTAAGTTTTTTGTATGTAATGGGGTTCTGATGGTATATATGGTGGAGATCAAAGGGAATAATGATAGATGGTGGAGACCAAAGGGAATAACGGATCAATGGGCTATGATTTCATTGGAGATTCTATGGATCAATGGCTTTGGAGATTTTATGGTTTTTAGTGTTTTAAGTAAATTAAGCAGTGGTTTAGGGAGTTGAGGAAAGTCTTTAATATTTACCTCTTATGATTGATTTATTCCAGAAAAGAAATCTGGAGAAGAAAATAACTTGTGATGCATTGGTGATTGATTTCCTTATTTGGTTACTTCGTGCATGCATTTGTGTTTGGTGGTTTGAATTTTTTGTATTGTCTAGTATTTTTATTTGATTGTAAGATATTAGGGCATGAGTGAAGATGTTGATTAATTTGGAGGGTTATGCACTGTTTTGAGGGTAGTTTTGGTTGAACTTCTTGTGTCTAACATTTTCACTGCTAGATGATTATTATTGGAAGTTCTCTGTGAAATATTTTAAATTGTTTTTTTTTTGTATGAATTAGATATTCGTCTCTGGACACCTTAGTTTGATATTGGCTTGTTTCTTTTGTCTAAAATTGTGAACATTTTTGGGGGCTAGTCATTCTTTATATAAATTCAAGCTTTTGTCCATGCGATGCTTCTTGGTGAAGTGCCCATATGTTGAACAGCTATTTTATGTTTTGTATTTGGGAGAAAAATTTTCATTATTTTTCTATGATTATCAAGTCAACTGGTCATCTTTGAGCTTTCCATGAGATTGTGATTGATCTTGTTTTATATATATATATATATATATATATAGGGTTTGTCTAGACTTAACAACCCCTCAAAATACAAATAGATAAATTTTAGAAGGGGTTGTGATGGGTGTATTTATCAAAACGATTATTTCTTGTTATTTAAAAAATTATTTTAATATGTAACTTAATCATAAGCAAGGGCAAATTTGAAATTTTTATAAAAATACAATAGCATTTTAGAAGTTAGTGTCTTGAAAATTTATTTTTAGATTGCCCTTGTCTTTTAGTAAAAATTTCAACTTTACCCCTTATGGAGTTTACAAAAGTACTGGAAAAAGTTTATATGAGGTTGAAACCTTAAAATGTTGAATTACATATGCACCTCAAAAATAATCGGAAAAAGTTGTTTCAATGTTGAAAAACCCTATAATTGATCATCTCAACATTGAGATGTATGAATATAAAAAAAAAAAAGATAATGAGTCTCAAAAATAGTGCATCTTGCAACGCATTATCTAGACCATCCATTTTCAAGATTTTTATATATTTTATAGATCTACTTGATTTTAACCATTTTTGGAGTTTAAAATTTTCAAATTAGATATGAATAGATTTTAAGGTAATCCTAAAATTTTTTTTAAACAATCAAATTAGAGCCTACCTTCCAATAGTGTCGAGAAATGCGGTTTCAATATTGGAAATCTTTGTGATAGTCTTAAAATATATTTGTATATTTATTTATAAAGTTTAAAGCTTCAAAAATAGTGTAGATCGACATATCTATGAAAACTTGAAAATCTTGAAAATTGACGGTCCAAATATACATAAAAAAATACACTATTTCCAAAATTTGAAATCCATTTTTTTCTCACGTCCATACTTCTTGAGGTCGAAATGATTTGAAGATATTTGGGCATCAAAACAACCACTTCTAATGAAATTTTTGAGGTAGGCTCAAATTTGATTGTATAGAACCTCAGCTCTATATAAACTTTTCTCATATATATATATATATATATATATATATATATATATATATATATANAACAAGAGTGAGTAGTAGTACGTTCGTTACCGTTACGTTACTTATTATTTATTTAAT